TATCACTACGGAAGTAGATTGCCCAACCTTCCTTCTGAGGAGTGGCTGGTGGGTTTGAACCACCAGCTTTCTGGTTAGCAGTCAAGGCCTTAGGCACTATGCTACCAGAGCTCCGGAACTACTTAAATCATAGGCATTTCCGGGAGTCTGTCCTGCAGGAAGTGTTGAGTTACGGAAACTGCTGAGGGGATGTTGTCAGAGCTGAGTGCTCTGGGCCACTGCTCACCTCTCATCTTACAACAGGACATAGTCATCTCTGCTCCTTTCTCCCATGTAAACCTCAATGTAGGTGCACCACCTACCATCTTTTGGGCCTTGGTGCCCCTCTGCCCCTCATTAGTGGGGGGACATAGAAGGTCTGGGCTTAGCATGAGTTCATTCAATTGTAGATGCATTTATTGAACTCCTGCTGTATACCTCAAATGCTCTACTAAGGCCTTTGGGCCTTAGCTGAAGTGAAAAGGGAGTAACCCATGGAAGGAATCGGGCCTCTTCCAAGCCTGCCTTTCCAGGACAACTTGCCTCTGAGAAATAAAATATGAAGCCTTCCACAGCCGGCCCCGCTTCTGGACACCCAGACAGTTAGATTATAAAATGTGCTGGCAGCCTGCTCATGTCAGCTGCAGAATGGGCCATCTCTAAAGTGACAGTAAATCCATTGTTATTTTGCTGGAAGATAGATTAATGTTAAACATAACTTATCCTTTCAGGCTATCTGAGCTGAGAAAAATTGTTACCATAGTGATTTAAAAAATGGAGAAACAGTATCTGAATGAGCTGCCAAGACGTGGAGGGTAGTGGTCCAAAGCAAGGTGTCACACTTGGGGGAGGGACTTCTGCTCTGCTTGTTCTCTGAGATGGAACGATAGCAGTGTGACACAGTGTTGTTGGGGTGGAGCCACTCAGACCATCATTGTGCAGCCTCCCTGCACATGGGCAGTGACCCCTGAGATACTTGAGGACAAGCACCACCCTGAGCCCTTGGTCATTCACAGGGATCAGATGGGCACCAAGAACAGCTGCTGGCCGTGTGGTCAGGGTGTCCTGGCAGTCAGGGCATCCTCATAGTTGGAGTGTCCTAGCAGTAGGGGTGTCTCCAGCAGGTACATTCAGCAGGTCTTACTCTTCTGACCTCTGACCCCACCTCCACTTTTGAAGGGTCAAGGTGAAGCTAAAGAATGTAATAGTAGGGTCCTCCCCAGATCTATTTCCCAGATGGCTGGCTGCCTGTCAGAAGGGGAGCCTGGTCGTTCCTTTCTTTATGGACAGAGACAACTAAGTAGCCACCATCCCTATGCCATGTAGAGCTCTCCCCAGCACTAGGAGGTATAGGTCTCAAGCCTGGCCCTCCGGAGCTCCCTCTGACCACTTGGGAGAGGGCTGGGGCCTGGCTCTTGGGAAGTTTGGCACTGGTAGGAGGCCTCAAGATCCTACAGGGTGATGTTCCAACTCCACCTACTGTTGATGCAGTGCTCTGTGCCTGCATCTGGGGCCTTTGAAGTCTATGTCTGCCCAGCATGACCACCTGCTCTACTCTAAATGACTGGAAATGGAAGAGGTATGCTGCTAGGTGCCCCCCCGCCCAATTCCACCAGCAGAGGGTGCTTCCAGATAGCTCTCATAGCAATAATCAACTAATCAATTAGACCACCTTTTTTTGCCACTCAGAGGGGGCTATGGTGTCTGGGCCATCTGGTTGACCTTGTTACCCATTGACTCTTACTGAGGGGTTCTGGAGGGTTTGAGTGGACATCTACTCATTGTATGCAGTCCAGCAGCCCCCAGGCTCTGGGCAGAGTTGCAAATGTCATTTGATAAACTGCTGATTCTCATTAGGGTCAATACAGAGCAGGAGCCACACCCTTCACAGCCTTAGGCCAAGGGTGAATGTGCTGGGGAGTCTGGAGAGTGAAGGGCAGCCTGGGTGCACTCAGCAGGCCTGCCTGGCCATGCAGCCTCTCATGACCTCTATAATTTCTGGTCTGTGTTGTAGGAACATTCTTCCCCATCAACATGCCAGGTGTTTTATTTATGCTTGTGATTTGGACTAAGTCTTTCTATTTCCTTCTGCTTTCTTCTCTGTCACATCAGCCAGAGAATGTCACAAAGTATAGCTCTAGACAAGGTCCCACACCCTGCCTTCCTTGTCCCTTTCTCTTTGCAGCCCCTGACACCTCCTGCGAATATTTGATGAGAAGCCCTCTGCTGGGCACAGCACTAGGTCCCACACATCTGCTCTCCTTGTCCCCCTTCTTTCTGCACACCCTCTCCCACTGCTTCCTGTGGAGATTTGATGAGATGCCCTCTGCTGGGCATAGCACTAGGAGAGGATTCCAGGATGCATTCAAAGCAGCTGCCTATAGATAGCTCACATTCTGGGAAGTTCCAAAGAGGGTTTTCTACATAAATGTAACTGAGATGTGGGAACTGAGTAGAGAGAGTTGAGGGTGAGCAGCTGTAAGAATCCAAGGGTTTTATGGAAGAGTTTGCTTTTTAGCTGAACCCTGATGGGGGGACACTGAACATGAGGCTATTAGGAAGGGTTGCAGGGACAATTTGATCAGAGAGAAGATTTGCAGCCAATGACCCCCAGGTATTTGTCTGCAGAGAGCTGTGGGGTGGGCATGGCTGGAACTCTGACTGCCTTCTGACTCTGTCCTCTGTTCCAGCATCTTCGTTTCCCGAGGACTTCTCCATTCTTACTACCGTGAAAGCCAAGAAGGGCAGCCAGGCCTTCCTGGTGTCTGTCTACAACGAGCAGGGCATACAGCAGATCGGCCTGGAGATGGGCCGCTCCCCTGTCTTCCTGTATGAGGATCACACAGGGAAGCCGGGTCCAGAGGACTACCCCCTCTTTAGGGGCATCAACCTATCGGATGGCAAGTAAGTGGGCATAGTTGCCAACCGATCCTTCTCCTGCTGGAGGGATGGAGCAGGGCAGCTAGAGTCGCTGGCCAGAGGCGGAGCATGAGAGCCAGTGGGCCATGGGCAGCACTGATGCCCCAGGTGTGGCATCACATGGAGAGAGCACTGCAGCTGGATCCTCAGTTCTGGGCTTTGGTCTTGGTTTACCCTCCGTGGCTTTGGGGAGTCCTTCCTCCTCTCTGGGCCCCCATTTCCTGCTGTAGATGCACTAAAGTACACCCAGTGCTGGCCTCTCACGTCAGAAGGGATGTAGGAGATTATGTAGTCACATCCAGCTTATTCTAGAAAAGAGTTAAGGCATTCTTCAAACATAGATGTATTAGATTAGTAAGTAAATGATTTTTAAACAAGAAGGCTGGCCATGATTCTTTTGGTATTCATCTAGACACTAAGCATGTGGTGTCTTCTGAGGTCATGCGTGGTGATCTCTGAATGCCTTCAGAACATGACTCCGTGTTCCTTGTTAAGTAAGGGTTTCAGATGACTCGCTGAAACTCACTGCCATCAAGTCAATTCTGATTCATAGTGACCCTGTAGGACAGAGCAGAACTCTACCATAGGGTCTCCAAGGCTGAAATCTTTACAGAGGCAGACTGCCTCATCTTTCTCCTGCTGAGATAGTGGTGGGTTTGAACCTCCAACCCTTAGATTAGCAGCCAAATGTCTTAACCACTGTGCCACCAGAGCTCCTAGAGTTTCAGAAATCCACTGATTTAACCACTTTCCATCCAGACTCAGTCCTCACTGGCAGTCTCCATTTGTAATCAGTGGTCTAGTTCATGCACAGAAGACAGTTACCAGAAACCAAAATCTTGTTGCTGGGGAGTCGACTCTTGACTCATGGCACCCTATTTGTCTCGGAGTAGAACTGAGCTCCACAGGGTTTTCAATGGCTGAGTTTTCAGAAGTATCACCAGGCCTTTCTTCTAAGGTGCCTCTGGGTAGACTCGAACATCTAACCTTTTGGTTAGCAGATGAGTGTGAATGGGACCCCTCACTCCCTGCTCTTTCCACTGATGGTGTGACAGGTGCTGTTGAGGGCCCATGCTGGCTGTTAAGCACTGGGTGTCCAAGCCCATGCCAGGTGTCTGGATCGGTGCTGAGTGCTCCATGCATCTGCCCCCCACTTGGGCTGCCTGATGAGATAGCAGGGCCTGGACAATGGTTCTCATGTTATGATGAGAAATCTATGAGCAGGAGGGTGTGCAGAGCCCACTTAGCCCCACCGGGTGCTGGGATGTGAGCCCCTGCTTGTCTGATCCAAAGGATGAGCTAGCTGTCAGTGCAGCCCCAGGACAGTGCAGGAAGTCACAGTTCCTCCCGTGTCTCTAGCAGCTCAGAGCAGAGTCTCTGGTATGGACATTCCAAGGCCCGAGCCCCGTTTCACCTGCCTGGCCTTTCTGTTTCTCTGCAGGTGGCACAGAATTGCTCTCAGTGTTCACAAGAAAAACGTCACTCTGGTCCTGGACTGTAAGAAGAAGACCACCAAGTTCCTGGACCGCAGTGACCACCCCATCATTGACGTCAATGGCATTATTGTCTTCGGCACTAGGATCCTAGATGAGGAAGTGTTTGAGGTAAGCAGCAGGGGTGCCTGCTGGTGGACTTCTGATGTAGTTGCCCTGGAAGGGGGTGTCCTCTCACAGAGCCCATGGTGCTGCTGGGAAGCTTGTCCCTTCAGTGAGGGATCAGATGGTCTTCCAGGGGAGTCCTGTTTCTGTGTGCCTGAAGCTGCTGCTGCTGTCTGGTAGGGAAGGAGAGGTGGTGCCAGCCACGTGGGGGCAGCATGGCTGCTGTAGTCCAAGGACCCATGTAGGTGTCTCCTGGTCTCAGGGAAGGAGAGGCCAGACTTTGGCCACATGGGGGCAGCGTGGCTGCTGCAGTCCAAGAAGTTCATGTAGGAGTTTACTGGCCCCTAGCATGGAAGGGCAGAGGCTTTGGTGAGCCCTGGTCTGTGGCCTGTAGAAACGTGCATGCTACCTGCAGAGCCCAAGGGGCCACCCTGGAGAGAGAGCAGAGTGGGGAGCTCAGGGCAGAGCCTTCCCAATGGGTGACCTCAGGGAAGGCATGGGCTGAGCCCCTAACTCCAGGGTGATCCACCCATGTCTGGTCTGGAACCTGGGAAGCCCGGGCAGAGCAGAGCAGGCTCTGGGAATCCACTTCAACCTGTGGATTCCTGCTTTTCCTTCCTTCATATGTTGAGGTTCAGCATAAGATAGAGTTGGGAAATCCCATCCCATTGCCAAAAAGGCTGAGAACCTCTGCTGTTGATGGGGGTTCCCAAATGTTCCTGGAGGTCAAGCCTTGGAGTCACCTGGTCACCTGGGACCTTGTAAAAATCTCACCTAGGCCCCTGTTTCTTGAGGTGCTGGCACCCCAGGCCTGAGGCAGGGCCTTGGAGCCTCTATTTCTAAAAAGTCTCTAGGAGACTGTGGTGCCCTGAGCAGGTGGGAATGGCCAGGACTCCTCAGCTGCACTTCTTTTTCTTTTACCTAATTGGGCTTGGGGAAACTTAGCATTTAAACCAAGGGCTTAGCATGTTTGAGAGCAGTCACACTAGAATGTTTCTGAGGGTGGTGCTGGCCCTCAGATGTCATCGTGGGGTCCCAGACACAGAGGTCAGGACAGGGCAACATTTCTTCTGACATTCCTGGGATCCTGGGATGAGTGTATGTTCACCACGGTCCCTACAGACTCAGCTGTGTCAGAATGGTGACCCCTGGCTATTTCACTAAAATGGTCTCGTACCTGGTGGTAGGGGTCCCTGGGTCCGTGGCCTTTGCAGGGTCTCCAGGGCCCCAAGCCAGACAACTCAGGCTGTGCTTTTGCCCCTCAATCTGGTCCCAGTGGCACCCAGCTGAGGGCACTCTTGGCTTCTTCACCAGAAGGGTGAATAAACATGAAAAACCTGTTGCCCTTGAGTTGACCCTGCTCATAGCAACTGCCCTCATGACAGCATAGAGCTGTGCTCCATGGGGCTTTCAGAAGTAGATCACCAGGTCTTTCTTCCGAGGTGCCTCTGGGTGGACTCAAACCACCAGCCTCTCTCATGTGCTCATTCTGTTTCATTTTAATGACAGTGGCTCCTCCTGGGTTGAAAAGCCCTTGAGCCAGCCCTGGAATTTTAAGTGTACGAAAGAATAGTATTCTGGAAGTCTTATCCTTCTATGAAATTGTACTGGGGACATGTAACATGACTGTTAAGAATGACTCTGGCAGAGCAGCTGGCCCACTTGGGTTGGATTTCAGTTCCACCATGTATTGGATGTGGGGCATTGGGCAAACTGCTCTAACCTTTTTCAGCCTCAGCTTCCCCATCTGTAAAATGGAGATAATAAATGTTGCTACTTCTCAGAGCCCTGGCAGGATTTAATGAGCTTCAGTGCAGCAGGGCCCGCATGTGACCCTCTCCCAGTACCTGCTTTTCACTGTTTGTTCCCCTTGTTTTTGACATCAGTGCAACCCAGGTGGTCCTCTGTGGACAGCATAAGCAAGAACCAAGCAGCCACTTGGCGTGAGGAAGGGTGGGGCAAGTGCTTCAGTCCTGCGGTGGGGCAACAGGAGGTGGCTTCCTGC